ATACCCATGTCTGCACAGAGCGACGACCAGTTTGCGCTGGATCCCAGGGCCCCGCGTGCACAAACGGGGCCAGGTGTGAGGTTAATCACACGGGGGTTCCTTCCCGTCGCAACCATACAGCATTGCTGGATAGCCAAACAGCTGCAGCAGTGTTGGTGTGAGTCGGCAGGGTCCCGCGGCAATGCATGTGGGCATCAGGCCGCAATGGATGCCGGGGTTCCACCCTGCGGCTTCGAGCGCTAGCTACTATCAACCGGTGCTGTTTTTGCTGGTGGGGCTGCTTCTTGTGCTCCTCCTCCTGGCGCCGTCCCTGTTCCTCGACACTCGTATCTTTTCGAGAGTCGAGTGCCCTTGGGTTTTCTGGGCGTGGTCCAACAACGCGGGCTGTTGAACGCAAAAACGTGTGTGTGTGGGATTTTTTTTCACGCTTTTTTGCAAATTTCAATGGACCCAAAAAGTCGAACATCGAACTATCCGCTTGTTGTTCGATGTTCGATGTTCGACTTTTCCAAAAATTACGTAGGACCCACCCTAACGGGTCACACTTTTCACAAAAGAAAAACTACTGGAGTTGGAGGTGGAAAAACTACTAGAGTTGGAGACGTAGCATACATGCGTCACCACGAAAATGGGGGGACTGTCGTCGTAATAAATGGAAGTATTACGGACGAAAACATACACACAGAGCAGTGATTAAATAACGCATCCGGGTATCCTAAGTAAAGTGATGACGCGCTAGCCATCGCACACACTCTACTCCCGCCCTAGGTGCTGTCCGTGAGGTGGATTATGTCATCCTTACGAACGCTACTGCCGTAGTACTCACGTGTGGTTTGAGAGCGAGAAAGTGTGCAAGTGACGGTTCCACAGGCGTGGATCCTCGGGGTATCTCCCGACGAGTCTTTGGTAGTTGGAATTGTTCCGAGTTGCGGAGTGTCTATGCGTCTTTACGCTTTACGTCGGTGAATTTCTTCCGACTGTTGCTTGATGGTTTGTGGCGCACGAGACGGACACCCTCTCCTGTTGCTTGTCTACGAGGGCAACCTATTAAACGACTTGACCATCTCTCCATCCCTGGCAACCGGGTCAGCCGTGCTTTTCCAGCAGCACTAGGCTTGAAACCAATCAACAGGTACTTCAAGAACAACTTACAGCTGTGGCCGCTTTTCTCGACGTTTCGAGAGATCAAGAGGTTCCGAACAGCCGTATAATAATATAGCTCGTACGTCATAGATGGGTGCCGGGCTACGGCGTGGCCCGTGGGCCACACAGGAGGAGCTGCTGAGAGACAGTTTTCATTTCAAGGTCGGCGATCCGGAAAAAACAACGCACACACGCACACCAATCGACTCATCGTTGCTATCGCCAACCACTCGGCGCACGAAGCTTTTTGCCGGGGAAATTTTGACGACGAGAGGGCCTTAGACTAGTTCGTCTGAAAGCTTTTTATACTAACAGGATTCGGAGACGGTTTACCTTCGAGCTAGCTCGTTTTCTGTCGATGCGAACTCGCGATGTGTTCAAACGTCATGGGCTACTGATCGACCAACTTCCACCAGGGCCAATCGGTTGGGATCTCTGCGACAACGATAGTGGTGAGAGTAATTCTTTTGGGAGTGACGAAGACGAAGGAAAGGGAAAGGGAAGAAAGGAGGACGAAGACGACGATGGAGCAGGAAAACATGGAGGAGTGGAAGAGAGCAAAGGGTTTGAGCCAGATGACCTTCCCCACAACAAGAAACGTAGGGCTAGGGAAGAACTGCCCAGAGATTCTTGTCGAAATGAGGATCAGAATGATGGTAGTGAAAACAAGGAGGACACTACTGGTGAAAGTACTCCTAAACGAACTCGAGTACTAGGTAATTGCCTTGGTAGACGCGTGCATTTTTCGTTTGTTGCTGCTGTTTCTTTTTTTAATCCGAAGGATTGTTTAGCCTCCCCCATGCTGCCCCCTCACGGGGTTCCAGGTAGACAATAGTGTTTTGTGTTTTCAACCGCACTACTAAGACTGACGTCTTTCGTCGGTAAGCCGGTTAGCGCGGTCGATGCTAGTAATATAAACACACGCACAACAACTAGAGAAGCGAACATGTTCGGCAATCGAGTTCTTATCTAGTGGTCAGTTCATGTGTATAGGATGATGGATGAGGGTTTGTGGTCGCGTGTTGGGTCCCATGTTTGGTGAGCTCTCGTGTGAGCAGCACGCAGCACGTGTATGGGAAAACAACAACATAATTCCGGTTGTGGCGCACTTCTGGTTGTGGCACACCATATGGTGACTTTTGAGGCTGAAGCAACTGCAAGGCACAGCAGCCTTTATACTTGTTGTACAAGTGCAAGAAAGTCTGTACATCTTGAGTGCTTCTACCACGCCTGAAACCACGGGAGTGTCTGTCGCCAGTACACTCCGCCTTAGGTTCAAGAGCCAGTCTCCAAAGAGCTTGTTCTGCCCTGTCCAGCATCGTAGGGAAACCGAGGGGTCGCAGTTTCCCTTGCCTTTGATATGTAAACCCGCTTTACTGGTAGAAGAATACATGCAATACCAAAATGTCTGCACGCTACTGTCAGACACCTCGCAAACAGTTCTAATTTTCCCCAAACAAGCAAAGCCCTACAGGGTTGTTCGGAATCGATAGCAGAGTCGATCGCCTGCCCAAGAAAATGCCTGGAGAGTTCCGTCGCCCAGCGCCCAGACATGTTATGCATAGAGCAGTAGTCTACATATATTCTTATATATATGCATATGGAATCCTACACTCCTCTTCGCCAACACAACAAGGAAAACTGACTGGAAAAAATGACTTTGCTATGCATACCGGAATCGCCGGAGATGTTCAGGATGTGAGGTGTAATAACGGCCACAGCATGAACACAGCATCCCCAACGCCCAACGCCCGCACGAAACGCTCGGTCGATCCCTTGGGGGTGCTAGGAATGATATTCTTCCCTCATCGAAGGGCGAATGGTTTGTCTCTCACAGCAGGGACTACCAAACTTCATACGTAGTACTCGAACACAGCAGCAGTTGGAATGCACCGGAAGTTGGCACGCTGTTATGGTCGCAGCCGTACGGCCATTCGCCACGATAGCTCTCCTGAGCGGGCAACTTGTGAACGGCGCGCCGGTCGATACCTACAGGGACCCGTTTGCTCTGGCCACGGTCATCTACTCAGCGTCGCCAACCATTCCTTGGGTAGGTTGCTGGTCCGGCGCGGCCTGCCTTGTGGAAGGCTTACGGCCTGCTACCGGTGGATAGAACACCAGGGAATCTACCGCGACAAACCGCAGACGTACTCACCTGCTGTATCGATGTACCACCCGTACACTTTCCTACGTTGCTGTGCAGTTCTGGATTGTTTTCGGGGAGAAAAAGAGAGATGAGGAAGTGGGAATGGCGAGGGGGCAATTACGACGGTGTTGTGGCCGTCCACAAAAGAAGGCAGCGTTGCTCCTCTTGCTTCTTTGATTCTCATATGATATAATAGGATACCGAATACAGAGAAGATTATTTGTCTGTTCCAAAGGGTCCGCCTTTTTTGCGACCACATCAGAACGTCACAAAAAAAAAATGTACCCACCGTTGTCCATTCCCAATATCTTTCTTGCCATGCGGTGACATTCTGATGTGCTCGCCAAAAAGGCGGACTCTTTGGAACAGATTATAATCATCTTTTTTGGTATTCGGTATTCTATCATACATGATAATCACAGCAGCAAGAGGAGCATTCCCTCGCGACTTAAGAAGTCTATTATGGTTTACTATTATATAACAACGAGCTTTGCAGCGCGTCGCTTTCATCCTAGACCAAGATGTATATTTTGTGAGAAAAAAAACTCACTCTGCCGGGACTCGAACCCATGACCTGGCCCTTAGCAGGCTGCGAGGGTACCCAATTGACCACCGGGGCGACCGGGTACATGTACCCACGCCATTCCCGGACAAGGGTGGGTACTTGAAATCCAGCGCGCGCGCACTCCCAAGGCAACCCCGAAACGACTCAAAACCCCATTCTGACAACTGGCCGACAGAGCCATAGCGCGCAGAGGGAGTGGAGGACTCCAGAATATCTGGACTCCAGAATATCTGTCGTTGATTTCTATTGACTTGCGGACCCCTCGGGGCCATTTTATTTGAGTGTAACTTTTTAGGATAAGTTAGCCTGCGACCACGGGAATCGACCGCGTCGAGTGTTGTATCAGCACGGACATACGAAGGTACTGGGTAGAGAGAGATCGGAACGGTTTTTAATGTGAATGAAGACAACAAGATCCGTGGCATCTTTCGTATTCATGGCTGCCGACTGCGGACCGACCGCGGAGGAACATGTCAGAAACATGCCAGGCACCTTCGNTCTGGACTCCAGAATATCTGTCGTTGATTTCTATTGACTTGCGGACCCCTCGGGGCCATTTTATTTGAGTGTAACTTTTTAGGATAAGTTAGCCTGCGACCACGGGAATCGACCGCGTCGAGTGTTGTATCAGCACGGACATACGAAGGTACTGGGTAGAGAGAGATCGGAACGGTTTTTAATGTGAATGAAGACAACAAGATCCGTGGCATCTTTCGTATTCATGGCTGCCGACTGCGGACCGACCGCGGAGGAACATGTCAGAAACATGCCAGGCACCTTCGGTATGGCACGGGAGGATACCAGGCACGGGAAGATGCCCGCGGCAAGCCCGGGAACCAGCGCTCTAACGGCAAACGCCACAAAAGAATGCGNGAAAAAAAACTCACTCTGCCGGGACTCGAACCCATGACCTGGCCCTTAGCAGGCTGCGAGGGTACCCAATTGACCACCGGGGCGACCGGGTACATGTACCCACGCCATTCCCGGACAAGGGTGGGTACTTGAAATCCAGCGCGCGCGCACTCCCAAGGCAACCCCGAAACGACTCAAAACCCCATTCTGACAACTGGCCGACAGAGCCATAGCGCGCAGAGGGAGTGGAGGACTCCAGAATATCTGGACTCCAGAATATCTGTCGTTGATTTCTATTGACTTGCGGACCCCTCGGGGCCATTTTATTTGAGTGTAACTTTTTAGGATAAGTTAGCCTGCGACCACGGGAATCGACCGCGTCGAGTGTTGTATCAGCACGGACATACGAAGGTACTGGGTAGAGAGAGATCGGAACGGTTTTTAATGTGAATGAAGACAACAAGATCCGTGGCATCTTTCGTATTCATGGCTGCCGACTGCGGACCGACCGCGGAGGAACATGTCAGAAAAATGCCAGCACCTTCGGTATGGCACGGGAGGATACCAGGCACGGGAAGGTGCCCGCGACAAGCCCGGCAAGCAGCGCTCTAACGGCAAACGCCACAAATGAATGCANCAAGATCCGTGGCATCTTTCGTATTCATGGCTGCCGACTGCGGACCGACCGCGGAGGAACATGTCAGAAACATGCCAGGCACCTTCGGTATGGCACGGGAGGATACCAGGCACGGGAAGATGCCCGCGGCAAGCCCGGGAACCAGCGCTCTAACGGCAAACGCCACAAAAGAATGCGTGACACACAACGGACAACAGAACCAACGGGTCGCGCATATAGAACAAAAAGACTCGCATACAGCAATAACACACACACACGCGCCACACACGCACAAAAAAACTAACCACCACGACGAGTGCACGCCGACTCGTGAGGGCAGCAGTTGCATGTCGAGGCAATTTACCACGCAGCCCGTAGCGCGGCACCCCTGAACTACTAGTAGTGCTTCGTGTCGAGGAAAACTGTTACAACGTAGTCAGGCACAGCAGTTTACCATAGGTGCGACTGCGGCAACTAGCCTTCCGTGGACATACAGTCGTCCCCGCTTTAAAGACGCTCATCTTAAGTCAACTCCCCGCGATAAAGACGAAAAAAAATTCCGAACCATGGTGCCCCGCAGATATACAATATGAGGGGGGGTGTACTTTATATACNACAGAAAGAAGAGATGGTACTCAGCAGAGAACATGCGCACAGAGTTGTAGCGTCGATTATTTGGCAGGCGAGACTGTAGTTGTTTTATTGTTCCGAACCCCGAAATTCCGGTACTCCGGCCATTACCCCGGAGACCCTCGGAACCTGCTGTGTTTTTGCTGCTTGTTTTTTGTTTTGTTTTGTTGTTGAGATGAGACACAAGCGCGCCTTCGCCCCTTGTGCTCACTCTCATCTAGCACCCATCAAAGCCTGACCAGGGAGTCAGTTGATAAGAACATCTATCTACATTTCTCTTTCCAAAGCTCGCTCGGGCCTACCGATCTCACAGCAGTGTAGACCAACCTCTGTGATAGAGCGGTGACAGCAGTGTAACCTCTGTGGTAGACTACAAAGTCTACGAGCTACAGCAGCACCGCCGCCTCCGCTGCTGCAGGACGCCACATATTGTGAGTTTATGAGCCTCGCTTTACGCGAACACTAGGAGCTGCGGACGCCACGACGGAGGTCAAGGCATCCTACTGCTGTGGACTACAACATCCGTCTGTGGACTTCGAGCGGAACTCTGGATTCGGAGATTTGGGAGATCATCAACGGTCAGCGGAAACGAAAGTGAGCGCACTACTTGGTCATCTACACCAAGGGGCTGAGAGTTCATTATACACACACGTTACCGCTGCTGCAACAGCAGTAGCGGGTACTTCTGTGGTGAACAAACAGCAAAGTGTTGCGCGGGAAGCCTCGATTTAGACATCGAGCAAATACTTCTGCGGCGGAGACAGGAGGGAAGACTGTATCAACAGCGAAAGTCGACCGGGAACCGTAGTCCTATTCACCGATTCCCTAAGTGAGGAAAGGGTATCAGGAGCGGGGTCGCAAATTGGCCTACAACCGGAGTTTTATTCACCTATCTAAGTGAGAAAAGGGTTTCAGAAGCGGGGTCACGAATCGACAACCGGAGTCCTCTATATCAATAGAAGGAGCGGGGCTGGAAAAATCTCAGAGACAGATAGCTGAGTAAATACACCAAAAAAATTATTCGAGATCATCAGGATAAGACCAGAAATGGAAGTAACATCGGGAACTGGAGGCGGAGGCAGCATCTGGAGTGATGGATCCACAAACCTGGCCAACGTCATCAGAGGACTCCCCAAGTTCGATGGAACGAAACCAGAGGACTTCAACGACTGGATGAAGAAATTGGGTGT